TAGTTAGTCAAGTAATCGTTAGATTGCAGGCAATCAACAATTTTATCAAGATCGTGAAGAATATTTCACATGTTTGACGGGTGAGACGATTATTTTTTTTTTTGTTTTTTTGTTTTTATTTTATATTTTCTAATGTACGTTTCATTTTTGTTTTTGCACGAAAAACATGTGCACGAAGACGAAGAGGTTTTGACAATCACAGATCCTGGGTCCGATAGACCGATATCCAAGGATTTCGAAAGGTTTGAAGATGAATTTGGTATTACTTTATAGCTTTAGTTCAAATTAAATTGATGCATGTTAAGTTTGTCTTTACCAAAATAAATAGGCCTAATTGCCGGTGAAATCATGTCCTTACAACATTTTGTCGTTTTAACCAAACTTTTGAAATTTCGCAAACATAACATAACATTTCTATTTTTGGCAATTCGAATCACCTGGTCGAATTTCAGGCTTTGTACATCACCAGTAAAAAAAATTATTCGAACTTGGTACCTCAAACTTGTATTATGACATTGTAACCACCACACCAATCCAAATTGTATGTTATTAAAACACTCAATATATATATAGTTAATACGTATGAATAAATCAAATTAAATTTAAAAGTTAATATAATTTTTAAATTATATTAATAAGATGTAAACTTATAATAGTTAAAATATAATAAAATAAATTATATAATATTAAATGAAAATAATATAATATTAGATAATAAAGTATAGAAAATTTAACCGGAAAATATATATATATATATATCTATTGAAATAATAAATTTAAAATAAAATAGAAACCTTAAATGAATATAATAAAATAAAGAAATATTATTTGAGTTTATTGTAATTTATAATTTATTAAATTATTACATTAAAAATAATATAAATAATTTATTAAATTACTATATTCAAATTACATTTTTTATTTAATTATATTTAATAATTTATTAATAAATAATTTAAATAATTCATTAACTTAAAAAATTAAAAAATGAATATAATAAAATAATGAAATATTATTTGAATATAATAATTATTTAATAATTACATAAAATAATATAAATAATTTATTAAATTACTATACTCATTATTTTATTTAATTAGAATTAATAATTTATTAAAAAATAATTTAAATAATTTATTAACTTATTATATTAACAAAATGAATATAATAAAATAACGAAATATTATTTGAATATAATAATTTATTTAATAATTATATCAAAATAATATAAATTATTTATTAAATTACTATATTTAAATATTTTAATAATTATGAAATATTTTAATTTTTTTAATAAATATGAAATATATAAATTTAATTTAATTTAATTTAATTTAATACAAATTTACTCTAATATAAAATAACTTATCTTATTAATATAATTTACATTATATTTTAAATTTTATTTGATTTATTCACACAGAGTGTCTATATATTAAATGCTACTCCCTCCTATTCATTATAAATGTCGTTTTGACTTTTTTGATTCATTCATTTTATTATGTATCTAGACATATTAATGTCTAGATACATAACAAAATGGATGAATCAAAAAAGTCAAAACGACATTTATTATGAATAAGAGGTAGTATTAAATTTAACAAATAATTTGGATTGGTCAAGTGGTTCCAATTGTATCATACAACATGGAGGTCCTATGTTTGAACCCCAGCGTCGCTTATATTTTTATCTCCATTTTTTATCGCCACTGCAGACAAAGCCCAAAATTCAGCCAGGTGATTCGAATTGACAAAAATAGACAATGTTATGTTATGTTTACTAAATTGCAAAAGTTTGGTTAAAACGGCAAAATGTTGTAAGGTCATGATTTTACCGGTCATTAGGCCAAATAAATATAATGCTTTCTATTTTTTTTAAATACGGACTATTGTGACATCCTTCAGTTTTGATATGGGTGTTGTTAAATATCGCCCCCGAAAAGTCGAATTTGGCCTTTAAGTTAAACAAAAAAAATTAATTTTCAATTTATACATTCTCTCTCCCGGTTCTCGACTTCAAAAAATTTTGAAAAAAATTCTGACCAACTCCGGCGACGACGATGGCGGCGAAAAAGGTACGCCGGTTTTTTTCACGGCGACCGGCCAGCCAGACCGGCCGTCTTTGCTCTGGCCGACCGCTTGTTCCGGCCGATTCGGGTTTGGTCGGCGGTTGACTGCGGTCGGCTCTGGTCCGGCCGCCTTGACTCGGGCCGGCTGATCCATTTTGGGCCGGCAATGAGGAGCAGCCAGACCTTTTCGGACATTTTGGGCCGGCCGGCCGGCACGGCGCGCCTTTTTTTATATATTTAATATTATTTAATCTATATATTAATTATATATTATAAATATTAATTATATATTAATTATAATATATAATTAATATATATAATATATAATTATATATAAAATATATATAATATATATAATTATATATTATATATATAATTATATATTATATATATATAATATATAATTATATATATATATATATATATATATATATATTAATTATATATTATTAATTATTAGTCATTATTATATATTATTTATATTTTAATTTATATTATTGTTAAAAATAATAATATATCTATTACTAAAAATATATATATTAAAAATAATAATATATATTATTATTATATAGTGATAATAAAAATATATATATTAAAATAATAATATCTTTAATAATAATAATTTTAGTCATATATATTATTATTGAAAATAATAATATTTTTAGAATGTATTGTTATATATATATATATTAATATTAGTAATATAAATTATATTAATATTAGTAATATAAATTATTAATTTATATTATATTATTAATATAAGTTATTATCTTTTAATGGTTACTTATAATTTATGTTTTAAAATTGGTAACATACATTGTATTATATTGCAGGCGCCAGTTGAGGATTTTGGAGGAGACAATATTGATTATTGACCTTATTTCGAAACAGATCAGATATCTGATAGTCTTAAAGAAGCTGTAGATTATGCAACCGGTATGGCAACTATCTGTGGTTTTGAACTAATTATTTCAAAGCACACAAAGGGAGGAACATTGAGGATTCTGAAGTGTAACCGAGGAGAACGTAATCGAGGTAAAATATTCAATGTTGTTAATGTTGTCCTGAGATGTTCGAAAAAACAAAATATATCGGATGCCTGTTTGAGATGAGATTGAAAAAAGAAGCTGGTACGAAAGATTTCTGGAGTATATGTTTTCTTCGGGATGATCAGAAGGGATACCATAATCATCCGATGGCTTTGTATCCCGAGGGTCATCGATAGTTCAGCGGACTGAGTGATTCGTCGAGGCAGATCGTCCGTGACATGACAGGTGCCCAGGCAAGACCGGCCATAATATTGGCAGCGATACAGGATAAGAACTCGTCTGACAAAGCGACTCGTCAACAGGTTTACAACTATAGGGCTAAACTTCGATCAGAGAGTTTGGAGGGCAGAGATGTGATTTCCCAGCTTATGCATTTGGCTAGTGGGGCTAATTACATAGTCTCAGCTTATGTGACAAATAAAAATAAATTTTATATGTAATTGAGATCAAAGACGAACATTGAATACTGTTTCTATTAACATTTATAATGTGTATTTAATGTTTTTTTTTTTGCAAAATATTCTTTCTAAGTGTGATATATAAAGATTAATAATACTTAAGATATTTTATAATATCTATAAAAGCATCTAAAATGATTATTCACAATAATGTTTGAAGCTACCTAAATTTTTCTAAACTATCCGTAAGAAAAACATGTCTAAAAATTTTTTATTTAACCTCCATATATGTATATATACAGAGAGAGCAAATGTGTAAAAAAATTTATACAAATAATATTTAAAAGTATCTAAAATATTAGTAATTAGACATGTGAAATTTAGATTTTTAAAAAAATCTAAATAGATAATGAATTTATAGTAGTAATTAAACTTTTATTTATTTATCTTTAAAGTTGTTACGATAGATGAGGGATGTGATTTTTTTGACTCGTGGAGATGGAATTTTGTAAGTTGGGTTATGAAAATTTCTTAAACTCGTCCATATTCATGCAATGAGTTTTTTGAGCTGGGTATATAGATTTAAAATTGTAAAAAAAGAAACTTTCATAAATTATTTTATTTGATATTTTCGGAGAGCTTCATTAATTTAAAAGTGTAAAATAAATAAGGAAAAAAGTGCGACTGAAAAAGTTACAACAAATTGTATGGAGAATTAAACTAAATCCAATTTTGTAGGATGCATTAAATATTAGTTAGATTTTATATGTAAAATAAAATAAAAAATAACTGGAATAGTTTTACGTGTTGCAATATTTTTTTTAGGAACTACACGGATATTCCTAAATTAATATTGCATATCCAATATTTTAGGAACTAATTAAATACTAATTTGATTTGCATACCCAAAATATTAGATACATTAATTAAATACTTGATAAAATTAGAAATTCATTAATTAAGTTTGACTTTTCTAATCATGAAATTGACATAGATTCTATTGACTAAATAAATGTATTTGGCAAATCAATACTTTATTAAAGAGGATCCTATTTTAACAGAGGTAGTTTCCCTAATGATTTCTTATGTCATGATAATTAACAAGAGTGATGGTCAGCCTTTATTATATGTTGGAATAGTCTTGAAAGAAGTCGGTGTTCAGTTACGTCCAACTATTTCCCGTGTCACTAATCGAAAGAACTTGAAAATATTAATTTGCAGGGAGGATGAAACATTGTCAATAAATAAGTTTTTAATAATATATAATAATATTATTTATTATACTTATTTATTTATTTATTCACAAATATAATAATAAAACTTGATAAATAACTTTAAAATTGTATATATTACTACATAAATCTTTATTCCTATCCTATTCCTATCCTTTTGAGGCCAACCAGAACAATAATCTCCCTATATATGTGTGATATGTATCCTCGTTAATTCCGAACCAGAATAAGTATATAAGGAGTCCCGTCCCTTATGGATCCGAATCCGGTGGATAACCGACGGCGGCCGGGATACGAGTACCGCCATCAGATCGAGATCGACGAGGGCCGCGTAATCACGAACCGGGGATTCTCCCTCGAAGGGCGCTGCGCGTTCGAATTCCAGATCGAAACCAATTTCATCTTAAAACCAAGAGATTCCGGCGCCGGCGAGACCATTCTGTGCTCCGAGACTATCACCGAACGCATCTTCCGCAGCGACCACGGGTACGAGCGCTTCTTTCGCTTGCTCATCTTTCGCTCGGAACTCCGGCTGAGAGAATACTGGATGACGGAGGCCCATATCCAGGAACTGATCCGCGAGGCGCTTGACCTGTGCAGATCCACGGTGCTATCGACGGCGGACAGGGGTCCACGTGTCATCCCCGTGACCGTGAGGATTGACGTCTGCACGGTGCAGCAGGACGGCGAGGAATTGGGCGCTACCATGGATCGGGCGATTAGGGTTGAAAATCTGCTGCCGTTGGATGTCAATGGCATTTATATTTATAGGGATATAGGCTTTGCGCTGGAGGTTTTCGTCGTGGAAGATATGGTGAAGTTCAGATTGGAGGATGTCGAGTTGGGCTTGGGCTTGATGAGGAGTTGCCCGATATGCAAGCGGGCCCCCACATTGGGAGCCCAGTTATCGACTCTTGCGTGTGGCCACACGTTTCATTGCCGTTGCATAGTTGGGTCTTTGCGTAATAAGAACTCGTGCCCGGTCTGCAATGTCTCCGTCTATGATGAAAATCCAGAATAAGTTTGGTTGGTTAAGTCGTTTCACTAGTTTAGCTTATATATCTTGTGATTTATCTATTTTTTTTTTTAAATACTAAAATAGTTTTTTTCACCCCAATTATGAATGAATATTAAGTTTTTTCGCATCATCCATTAATAAGCTACATTTTTCACTCCAACGAGTGTGACCACATTATATAATAAACGAAGTGATCTCATAAGCAGTCATTGACGAATGGAAGTGAAGTCAAAGACGCGAAAGGTTCAGAAGTCATGCTAGCTCCTTATTATGACAAACTAGTACGAATTCCGTGCGATGCACGGGTAATAGATACTCATTAATATTCATATATTAACAATATTTATTAAATAATATCTATAAATTAAAAATACATAATCAGTAAAATATGTCTATTTAAAATTAGCACACAACTCGTACGGTGCACTTAACTGAAAATAAATTAAATTACACTCATTTCAAAATAATTGTTATTTTAAAGTTTTCATTCAATAATTCGATTTGACTACAATATGACTCCATAAAATAATTAATTTGATAAAATTTTATCCTATATTTAAAAATATATATGATTATAAATATAATATAACTTATATTATTTCATTAATTGAAATGAAGTAATTTTTGTATAAGCTATCAAAAATCAAAAAGTTTAAGTAGTTGAATAATTTAATAAACTATGAATAAGTGATTATTCCATTTACGTCTAAGTTAATATTGACCCGTAAATTATGAATAATTACTTATTTGACTATTAAATTTGTAACCCAAATTTGGACTACACAATAAATTTTCTTATATATATATACACACGCACACACACATGTAACCTCGCAATATTTTAGACTTGTTGCTAGTTACCTTATTGTTCAAATTTATATACTAATTATCTAGAATTAAATTATATATTTTATATTTTATTAACCAATATTGTTCAAAGATCTTTCTGATTTTCAAGAGGAATACATACCAATTTGTCGAATTACCATCAATATCTCAAGTTATTATGATAATATGCTAAAATTTGATGATCATATCACTTTGATTTTATAACAAATCAACCTAAAATTCGACTGTCGTACTTATCCAAACCACGTATTTTGTTTTAAAATTTTCCAAGTACAATTCTATACATACCAAATAAATTTCATATCATTTAAATTTAGACATTTCATACCAAAATAAAACCACCCACTATTGTTGTATGCAAATATTTCATATCATTAACATAATTACTGCAAATCTAAAAAATATTTGAGTACGTTATTTATTAAAAATAATTTTACTTAATATTTATTTAATATGCACGGCAGTTTAATATATAAGAATTCAACCTTTTAAATACCGAGATATGTCATGGGTTGGAAAATCATCTTGAATGCTTTATGAGATATTAATTTGTTGATAATCCATTTATATTTGTCATATATGAGAGTTTTAATCAATTTTTGAATTGACACTCCTACAATGTGCACATTTATATTAATAGCACAAAAAAAATAATATTTAAATTAACATATTCGTGTCAACCCTTGCTTTATGTTTTTATCATTCCCGACCAAAAATAATAATGGTCATCAAATACCATAACAATATAAATGAATTTTTTTTAAGAAGAAAATGAATATTTCATGTTTCAATTGACAGAAAAACAAATGAACTTTTTTTGTTTATTAATTGATTAATCTCTTTCACAATATAAATGCTAGCAGTAATTATAATTTGTTAGTTCATCAAATCTATAAAATACTTTCTGAAAGTTCAAATACTGTTAATTATTATTCCTCAATTTTTAAACTATTGTTCTTTTGTAATTTTTAAACTACAAAAATAACATGAAATTATTCAACTAAAATTACGTAATGAGAAAAGTAATCAATATAAACCTAAGAGATTTAACAAAGTTATCTTTAAAATTTGAATAATTAAAAAAGTAAACTTTCGAAATCAAAGTTTGACACCCAAATAAAAATTAATTAAATAATTGATCCATTAATCAAAATAAAATATGGATTAAACCAAAAAAAAAAAAAAGAGGGAAATGGGAACAAACAATGCAAACAAATATGATAGGCATTTAGGAAAGTGGTGTCAATTCCTGTAATTTAATCGTGGACTATCCAAATGTTTACATAAATATTGATCCTTTTAGCTCTATATAATATTGTAAATTTTCAAATATATAAAATCACGATTTGGCAAATATCTATTTACTTTGATTAATTATTCTCCACATTAATTATATTGATTTTCTAAATTCAAATTTCAAATAATTAGTCGCCAGTTTTTAAAAATATTTTAAAAAGTTACTAATAACGGTAACAATGAAATTTTTTGGCGGGAGTTCTTCTACTATTTCAAGTAAATATCAAACCTTTTTATATTTATATAGATAAGAGAAATGTATAAACAAGCGCGGAAACATTATGCGACAAAGAAGAATAGTATGAGCTAGTGTAATAACATTATGTGACAGTTAGGCGACGATTGCGCAGAGATTCGACAGTTTGGCAATCCCGTTTTCGTTTTGTGGTTGCATTCACATGTCCGTCTTGTGGTTGTAGAGCAATTTATTTTAAATAAGTATTTTTATTATGTAGATGAACTTGTGACTTTTAGGCGTATAAAAATCGCAGAATAATTGCAGAATAATTTAAAAAAAATAATAATTATTTTTTGAAATTGTCTACTATGCAACAAAACGGCGACACAAGTATAAGCATATTATTGGCCAAGTTGGTACGGAAAAATTCCTATTCGCATAATTATTTTTAAAAAAATTAAATTTTGGAAAAATAATTGTTTAGCAACTGAATTAGTAAATTGAACACTTCATTATCGTAAATAAAAAGATAAAATAATAATTTGTTTATATCATTATAATTAATTTTACATTAAAAAAATTTGAAAAAAAAAAATCTACGTTAAATCCTGTTGACCAGCGTAAGTTGGTCGATGTCCTATAGAAGAATGAGTATTTTTTACATTGGTTCTTATAAAAAAAAATAATAATAACTTCATAAGATGTCGCTGGTGTCTCCCTTTTCCACACCATAGTCATGAAGAAAGATGTCATCTCCTCTAAAAAATAACGCTACCTACGCAATATCAACAATGACATTCCAAGTAGGCCCCGACTAATGTCAAACTCATACCCTGTTATGATTTTGGTGGAAGATATGCATCAGTGTTCGTATGCAGAACCTGCATTTAAAATTTGTTTGGTGTAATAATTTATTATGTTTAATAATCACTAATCTATATCTATATAAAAAGATTTAATTATTTTTTAAATAGTAACTATTTCCCGCCAAAAAAAATATTGTTTACTAATTCTGGAAACTTTTAAATATTTTATGTTATGTTTTAAAAATACAATTTAGGTAATTGGGATGTTTAATTAAAGTAATAAATCACACAATTTTTTTTTTTTTTTTTTTTTTGCATCTCAAGATACTATATCATATATTTGTACATATATATAATATATTTAAACCTAAAATATCAAGATCTATCACATTCTTAACAAACATTAGATTTACTTATATATTTTTAAATTAATCACATCAATAAATAATATTAAAATAAATTAAATATTTATCATGATATAAAAAAGAAATATTACTTCTATAAATTGTATAAATAATATTGACATTATACGACAATGATTTTTTTAATAAAGTAACATTTGAGTATTATGATGAACCAAAATATATAAAATTCTTATTTTTTTGTATTAAAAAATAAATATATATGTTAAAATGTTATTTATATTAATATAGACGAATCAACGGGCTAATACATTGCCAACATAAAGTTTTGCAAAAATGTTTTACATTACGAAATCCCCGTCCATCGCACGAGATTCTCACTTGTAATTTTAACCCAAATTATAATTAAAATTAATACATAAATAATCATCTATTAAAATCTATCAATATATTAAAAGAATAACCTTTTAAGGATTCCCGCCAATTTTTTCCACCAATATATCTATATAGAATCACCCGCCAATATATTATATATAATCACCCGCCAATTTTATTAACAATGTCCTAAAAATTAGCAATTGTCTTTCCTGTTTTTTTGGTAGATAGGGTAGTCAAGAGCAGATTTATTGGGTAGATAGGGTAATAAATCGGCTGATTTATTGGGTAGAATTTGTTATTCTTTTTCCTGTTTTTTGGTATCAAAATAAATATTTGTAATTATTTTTGGTATCAAAACTAATAATTTTCAAATTTTGTGTAATCAAATATTTTTAGATGGAACACCATAAATTCAGTATAATTTTATTAAATTAGACTTATAATATTTTAGATACTTAAAACAAATTGTTTAGACATTTTTTTTACATATTCGTCTATATATATAGACATATACACATACAAATTATTGATGTTAAATTTAAATATATGTAGACATGTTTTATTTACAAAATAGTCTAGAACTTTTTTTTTACACAATGTTAAATTCAAATATTTGTAGATATGTTTTTCTTCTAAAATTATTTAGAAAAGTTGTAGGTGATTTCACATCTTTCAAAAATAATATAGAAAAATTTGAATACTATTACATATACTAATATAATATTTTATGTGTTCTTAATATTAAACATACAAATTTTATATTCTCTTATACAAAATAATGTAAATTTTATATTCTATTATATAAACTAATTTTACATTGTTTGACCCCGAATTTTTAGTTTATAATTATTAAGTATTGTTTATTCTCATTTATAATTATTATTTTGTTCTTCCTCTTTTTTAAATAGAATCAATAGTAATTTCCACTTCCGCCATTGAGTGACTCAAACTTGAGATTTATTTATAATATTGTTAATTTAATATTGTTCTCGTGCATCGCACGGGGTGTACACTAATCATCTATTAAAATGAAATAATAACTTGTTACTGTTTCGAATTATTTGTTAAGATTGTCCCGGATTATTTGTTAGAAACAAAATCTAATTTACCAAACCGATCAAAATCCTTATTCCCATCCCATTCCTATCTTTGGAGGCCAACCAAAACAATACTCTCCTTATCTCTCTCCCTCTATATATATATATATGTATCTACGTTAATTCCGAAACAGAATAATTATATAAGCAGTCCCTTATGGATCCGACTCCGGTGGATAACCGACGGCGGCCGGGATACGAGTACCGCCATCAGATCGAGATCGACGAGGGCCGCGTAAATACGAACCGGCGAGTCCCCCTGAGAGGGCGTTGCGAGTTCGAATTCCAGATCCAAACCAATTTCATCCTAAAACCAAGAGATCCCGGCGCCGGCGAGACCACTCTGTCCTCCGAGACTATCTCCGATCCCATCTTCTGCTGCGACCACAAGTACGAGCTCTGCCCTTGCTCGCGACTCCGGATGAGGGAGTACTGGATGACGGAGGCCCATATCCAGGAAATTATCCACGAAACGCGTGACCTGTGCAGATCCACGGAGCTATCGACGGCGGACCGGGATCCACGTGTCATCCCCGTGACCGTGAGGATTGGCGTCTGCACGGTGCAGCAGGACGGCGAGGGATTGGACGCTGCTGTGGATCGGGCAATTACGGTTCCAAATCTGATGGCGATGCGTGTCGGCGGTGGCCTTTATAAGGAATTAGGCATTGCGCTGGCTATGTTCGTGATGAAAAATATGGGGAGGTCCAGATTGGAGGATGTCGGGCTGGGCTTGGGCTTGATGAGGAGCTGCCCGATATGCGAACGGGCCCCTACATTGGGAGCCCAGTTGTTGACTACCGTGTGTGGCCACACATTTCATTCCCACTGCATTGTTGGGTCTTTGCGTAAAAAGAACTCGTGCCCGGTGTGCAATGTGCCCGTCTATGATGAAAATCCATACCTAAAAGATTTGTTTCAATTAATGTGGTTACATTAGCTTTAGCTTATATATCTTGTGATTTATCATAACTTTGATTTCATTAGATTTAATAGCTTATATATCTTGTGATTTATCTATTATTTTAAAAATTAAAAGTATTTTTCACCCCTATAAAGATATATTACGTTTTTCATACCTTCCATTAATAAGTTTTTTACCCCATCGACTGCGACCACATTCTATAATAAACTATTCGACAAATAGGAGAATTTTATGGGCAAAAGCAAGTGCGGAAATATTATGTATAAATTATGCGCCAGTTAGACATCGAATACGCAGTGATTAGATGAACAGTTCAGTTGATCACGTGTCTGTACTCTTGTAGTCGCATAACAATTTATTTTAAACAATTATTTTTGTTATGATAATGAATCTGCGATTGTAGGCTAATAAAAACCGCATAATAAAATTGTAGTATAAATATTTTTAAATATATTTCTGGAAATTTTTTGGTATGCAACAAAACAGCGACATACAAATGTTCCATATTATTCATCAAGTTGGTACGGAAAAATCCACACGCATAATTATTTTTAAGAAATTCTACTTTTTTTAAGACGCCATTATCATAAACAAAAACATGGAATAAAAATATTTTTTATATCATAATAATTAATTTGTCATTTAAAAAATTGGAAAAAATCTACATCGTAGAATTCTGTTGACCAGTATAAGGTGGTCAATATCCCATAGAAGGAACGAGTTTTTTCACATCCGTCCTTATAAAAATAATAATAACTTAAATCATGTCGTCGTCGTCGACACGTTTGAACACAATGGTGTCCCCATCTTCCACACCATAATGTCATCACCTCCAAAAATAACGATACCCAAGCTAATAGCAACGACGACATTTCAAGTTATAGCGCCCCGTTCATTGTAAGTAAGACAATGCTCAATTTAAAAATTCGGTGATTATATGTTAAGCATATTAAAAAATGAATTGAATCATTCATAGATAAATTTTATTAAGTTATAATTAACATTAGAATTATTATTAAACATTATTGATATCTATATATATATAAAAAGAATTAACATTTTAAAAAATAGTAGGTCAAATTTTGGTCAAATCTCAATTAGCATTAATTACATTCCATACTTAGTAACTTTGTTTTTTTCAAAAAAATCAACATTAAACACTACCCTAAAATTATGGTATTTGTTACTTTTCTTTCAAAAAATCGTGCTACCTTAAAGAAACAATATTACATACCATAAATTTTTGGCTAACTAAAGTGTTTTGTTTGGAAACTATTATATTTTAATTAAAACTAATTACAGTTGATTTAATCTTGAAATGGTACAATAATTTTATATTTTTAATGTGCACCCTAAATTTATATATTTTGTGGATTTAATTTAGGTAAATTTCGACTAATGCAAAAGTCAATTTTCTTTCTCTATTTTTATTAAAAAAACTGAATAAAATAAAATCAAGAATTTTGAATTAGGCAAAACACTATCACATATATCATTACTAATTGCAACAAATCAATTATTTATTATAAAAATCGGATTGCATAGTCGGCATGAAAATTTTGTAAAAGTCGGAATTATTTCATTTTTTTATTAAAAAAATTCGTTTACCATACAGTCGAGAATTTTGAATTAGACAAAACAATATAACATGTATCTTTACCTAATTGTAGCAGATCATGTTTATTAAAAAAATCGAATTGCATAATAATCGGGCCAAATTTCAAATTAAAATTTAAAAATGTATTATCATTTGATTACTACTTTCTTTAATTCGGACTTTTATTAAACATAAAACAAAGTCATATAATATTAATTTGAAATTCAAAATGAAATCGGATTGTAACATCTTAAAAATTTGGGTTTTGTTTAATTATCTAGAATACAAATTTGAAATTGATTGAATACACTTACAAAATATCGTATATATACTGCTAAATAATTTAATCGATTTATTTAAGACTATCTACAATCTTAATATAATCTGTGGCGATAGACGACGTACCAAAAAACCAAACAAATAACTTTGTGTACAATGATGTGTTTAATAATATATAACGTTACATTGTGTTTTATTTCAATATATGTATTTTACGTTCTTCCAATCATCCAAATTTAATTCCTTACCTTAATAAAACTAGTTCGTGCATCGCACGGGTACCACACTAGTTATAAGTAATAAGATACTTAAGAAAGCCTAATTAAATTAAATAGTCAATTTTAAAGTAACTAACCTAATTTAGTTAGGATTTAATTAAGTAATATAAGAATTAAAAGAGAGGATATTTGAATTTGAAATGTGAAAGACTCGGTTCTCAATGAACCTCCCCCATTTTCTCTGACACCTCCCACCTCTCTCTCGGCCATATCCCCAACACAGCCTCAGCGGCTCTTCAGCCACATTTTCCCCCTATAAAAGCCACCAGCAACTTCACTCACAAAATTTCCCAATTTTTTTCCCACGACAAAGCAAACCACCAGGCGACCAGTAACACCCAACTTTTCGGGTTGAATGTTTCGTGACGCGCGCACCGTGCTGGATTGCAGTGAGTCATGTCGCAGATTTATGAATGACCATATTTTGATTCCATCTTAACGATTGATATAGTTGACCCCATGGTTTAGATTTATTCTTGTTGCTTTCATTATCTTCTTTTATCATTTGATTCCAATTATATAAATATATATATATA